TGGTTTCAATAGCACAAAAATCCCGATTAACAATTGAAACCTTAGACATATGAGCAAATTCAAACAATATTAATGAGCAATAGATGTCCTATGGCAACTAGTAATCAACAAATTAGTCTCAACTCCTTATTAAATTTGACTCTACACTATCACTTTTTTTTATACTATGTGAAGGACTATGAATATCAGTCCATATGTCTGAATATATATCACGAACAGTCAACTTTGTCAAAACGATTACATAAACATTTGTTCGTTTACTTATCGTCGTTTTAAGCTTGCTGTGACATGTTAGATTCATATCATCTATCGAAATATCTGATCTCATCAAAAATCACTGATCGCAAGCAATTTTCTCCGACTGATGTGCACTACAACAAATCTCACTTTGACTATTATTGACATGGCGCTAAGTGATCCTGGAGATTGTATAATTTCATTGAAATCAGGAATCGATCTAGGCCAGAACATAACTGTAAATCTCGAAAAACTGAACCACTGTTTCGTCCTAGTATGTAACTCCTTTTCAGTGGGCGTACATGAGTCGGCGCACGGGAATAGAATTCAGCACCTCTAATCACATGAAAGAAAGCCTAACTTCTATATCTTCGAGCTGAGATCGAACGATGGTCCCGCACACTAACTCCATTGGATCCTGGCTGTGGTCTAGAGATTAGGCGTTCTTTCGCGTGATCAGAGGTGTTGCGTAAGAATCCCGTGTACAGGGTCGTGGGTATATATTGCTGAGACATATACTAGGATGAAATAGCCGTCTAGAGCTTCTTTCTGTCACTGAATTAGTATTTATGATATCAGTGCTATCAATGACTTGGTTTTATTTTCAATAAGTCTTCAATAATACGTTGTGCCTTTTCTTTTCTGATTTTATATCCCATTTTAAATAAATTATGTTACATTGTGTTTAGCAATAATGCATTTAGTCCATCTCCAGCTGATAGGAGAAGTGTAAACATAAATTAAAGTTCATTTATTCCACAACTCTGATTGCTATTGGTTTTGTTGAATTCATCAAGAAAATAGGTTGAGTCACACTATATTACTGTATCCTGATGGTCTCAATTCCTTTGTGTGGCCAATAATTGCTTGCTGCGGTAAATTTACAAACTGTACGGATTTGAATTTGTACACTTTTTTAAAGAGGTTTTATTATCTGTTAACAAATAAACTCATAAACCTATGTGAACATCTGTCGTGAAATGTCACCAAAATTGTAGTAATTAGTTAGTTGAAGCTTGAAATAACATGCATAATGTCGAACAAAAGTTTAATTTTCGTTTTTTTTAAGTTATTAACAGTTATAATATAAGAATGGTCTATATTCAATTAGTTATTACAAAAGTCCCATACTAGAACAAAATGGTCGTTCATCCACTGTATTCATGTTTTTAGTGGTGGTTTATAGGTAAAACTCAATTAGTGATTTCAACTGAAAAAATTTTAAGTATTTATAGAATGAATATCAGTATATGATATTTTGATATGATAACCGCCGCCTATATCAATAGAAGATTCGGAGAGAGTTGAAACAGGCTGGCAGAACATCTATACATGAAGTCATTAACTGATGTTCTGCTTCATTTTAGTGGGGACACGCAACCTAGCTAGGGTCAGCCTTATTGTTTTACAGAATGCTCCAAATACGTTCACTTTCTTCTATACTTATATCTTGAGTTTCCCAGATTATTTTATACCTATTACTGCACTAGTTCATTTCTTTACTTCAATCACATTCCTTATCCGTATTTTTTTTAAACTACAAGTGATCTCAGTACTACTGTAGTGAATGAGAACACAGGTGGGGCAACCTGACTTTACTTACGAAAATTACAGAGTTACTCAGTAAAATCGGAAAACCATATCGTAAATTGTTCATTTGCAAAATATCAGTTCATCCTATGGAACTGGACTGTTCCTGTTGCCAAACATCAATCCATTGTCACTATTCATGCGTTTCATACAAATTCCATTGTTTTCTAACTCCTCCTTTCTTGATCTTCCCCCCATATTATGCTACCAGACTTTACGTTGACACTCACGTCATATACTACTTATAAGTAGTTCGCACCACAGCACCACACTACTTCCACTAGAATGAAAATCTCACCTCTCTACACTGAGTTCCAGTTGCAACTTGAGCTGATTCACATATGTGACAGATTCCCTATTGCTTATTGTTGAATGAACTATTCCAAATGACTTGTATCATCGGAACCAATGAAAATTTCGAGATTTTAAATATGATACATACAATGCTCCAGTGTATATTCAAACTGTGTAACAAAAGGAATATCAGTCTTTATAAAATTTCACGACTTTTTATTGCCTCATTCTTAATTAATCATCAATACTCTAAATAAACTTTTCGATATTTATTCCCTGTAGTTGTAATTGAAAATGCGACGAAACTGATTATATTTGAAAAAAAAATGGATATTGAGTAAATTCTCATAATCGATAGTAAAACAAAAAAAATTCATTCATTTTGCTGGATGAATATTAGCTACTTAATTTGGGTTGGTTATTTTCTTAGCAGTTGAAAATAAATAAAAGAACACACTCTTATCATCATCATCATCATCATCATCAGTACATATGCATAATCTTATGAAAGTTTAGATTCAACATATATATATGAGATTATTTGGGAAAATCATATGAACTAGAACACACTATGGAATGACTAATAAATATTTTCTCAGAAGAGTATGATTGCTATTATAATCTAGTTGTGTTTTCTAACACATACTTGTAAATACTTATGCATTCATATATACATATATATATATATATATATATATATATATATATATATATATATAAATGTATAAAGGTATCTAATATTAAAAATGGAATTTCAATGAAACTTAATGGTATGCAATGTAAGTTAATGAAATATTTCAGAGAAACAAAAAAAATGTGTCCACATTTCAGTACACAAGTGTGTTGCTTCGTCAATTCCATCTCTCCTGTTTTTTTGTCGCCAACATCAACGTAAAGCGCTGTGTTACATGTGGTCTCTAACTTGTGAAAGAATAAATACAAAATAATAATAATAATAATAATAATAAAAAATTCTCCCCAACATTCCATTGTTTTCATTTACTTTAACCGACAATCATGTTAATAACGACAAAATATTTTATGTATCATTAAGAAAAGAATTCGCCTTTAAAATATGAATGAATATATATATTTGGTGGTTAATGTTAAACAGTTGACTATTATTAAATTAACATTTGAACTATGCTTTACAATTCATATAACAAGTAATATTTCTAATGCATTATTCTGATCAATTTGAAGAAAAAATTCATCGTCAATATTTTAGACGAAAGAGATAGTATGTGTTAATTATTGGAAATAAATGATCATAATAACACATTGTCCACATATTTTGCGATTTTTTTTTTTAATTTACAGTCATTGGTATTTACGATGATAATAATAATAATAATAATAGGAGCTTTTTGTAATATTGATGATTCATATTGAAAATTGAAGGCTAGTCGATGTTGAGATTGAATCTTACAATTTGGGATAGAGAACTTAAATTATGCGATGATTGATATCGTTTGCTGTTGGTAATATGAATAAAATATTCGTTGAGTTTATTGAATCAACAACACACGCATCTTGATGCAAGATAATGACTAGTATGGAATAAGACTATGAAACCGGTCTGCAAAACACATGATATGCGTAACTTATTTGAGTTGAGACTTTTAATTTGGAATTTTAGAATAACAGATACAATCGGTTTGTGTTAAGTGGCTAGAGTCAGTTTGAATTAATGATTTGAAAAATCAGGGTCTGTTCAACTCGCCAAGGTGGAATCACAATATTCATGTACCAAATGCAACCTCCGGATGTCACTCTATTGTTTAGCCACGACACTAATACCCCACTGATGTTTTCATTTCACTCTTGAAAGATATTTATCAAGATCCGATTCTACACTGACAGTGAGTTCAAGTGTGTGTACTAAATGTTGTGTTGAGCCCACACGGCTTGTCCCAGCTTTTCGACAACGTAATTGACCTTTTCTGAGTTATTATTCACATGTCTTTTGACCTTGTCAATCATTTGCTATCGCTTATCGTATGTCCGGCTTATTTTTGTCAAACTATAAACGCTTTTTGACGCCTCACTACATGGAGTTGTTTCGCTCGCCTTCTCCACTACGTTTAGCTTTGCTTTAACTCTCTGTATTACCATGTCTGTGTCTGCATGAACGGTTGGTTTAAATAAACTCATCCTACCGAATCCGTATTTGGCTCCTTATTTATCGTCGTCGCACAAACGGAGTTCGCCTAAGTATGACATACGGAAACTAAAAGAGAGATTTATTTCATCAGATACTCGATCAAATAAATAAACTCCATAAAAATTCAAATATCTTACATTAGATACTTTTGGCAGTTTTTTTTCCGATTATTTTGCTATGAAGTAGGAATCGAAAATTGTTATAACAAAAAAGAATGCCGATCACTAGATAGTGCACAATAAATATGATGTAGGCAAATGATGGCTGCTTATGAGAGTGAATGATTGATATACTTGCTTGGATGATTTGAGATTAAAGACAAGACCACTAGCTAGAAGAATATATTTTCCTCATACAAAACAACAAACGTATATACAAAATATTAAACACAAAAATAAACATGTTTAGGCATCATAAGGAATTGGTGGAAGTTAACTTTGTAGGTCATCCGTACTCCAATCAATTAAGAGTCTGTCCAAAATATCCTAAGCTTACAACCAAACAATCAATTGTGATCAGTCAGAGATTGTTTATCAAACCGGTTGATCAGTGTGAAATATGAAATCACCATAAACAATTACCATTTCGTTTCACAATAAATAAATTTTTCTTGAAAGACACATTCTTCATATAGAAAATAGGAAATAGTTATCAATTCAAGAAAAGCAACTTTAAACAATCATTGAATACTTATCCTGTAACAAATGATACATACATGTAAATAAACATCTAGCCAATAAAAACTGTACAGTACTAGTATGTTTATGATTTTTAGAATTGGAACATTTATAGATTGAAAGCAATTGTGAAGAGTGTACAAGCATTTGAATTATTTCTGATGAATTATTATTAATATTACTATTAGTACTAGTAGTATTATGTATAGTTTTTGTTGATGTTGACATACTACTACTAGCTTTAATTACACGATTAGATTTTACAGGAAGTAAAGAGAATATAATATCTGATTGATTTTTAAACAATTGTTCATTTAAATAAGTTGCCCAATGACTAGTTGATTGATTAGTCCATTTTGTTAAAGTTTCCAATGATGGACAATTAGTGGACATGTATAATTGACTTTTTGATGTATTATTGTTAATATTAGATGACAGATATGCTAAAAGATAACCCATGATTACAGCTTGATGAATAGTACGAATGTCTAAGTTATGAGTTGTAGTTGATGATAATGTGATAGGCCGAAGAATAATATCCGTATTTGCGCCAAGAGAGTTACTAGATAGAATGTTGTCTTTAATTATATTCGTACAATTATATGCCTGAAAAGTAAATAAACAAGAGTGAGAGATGATAGCAAGCGAAAATTAATGAAATGAGACACTGCCAAGTATCTAACCATTTAACGATTAATAATATTGAATGGTTGCAAATAGTCGATAAGAAACTTTGAATCTAGATTTTGTGTTGATTAACTTCTAACAACGAAGCGATTTTCATGAGACCAATTACACTTCGTATAGGATTCGAACTTGTATCATTCAAATACAGAGATTCTTGGTAGTTTCACCTCAGAGTATCCACCATTAAAGCCTAGGATATTCAGTCTCGAATCACATTGACCAAATGTAAATGACTGTAAAATATTGGGTTTGTAGATTATTTATTAAACTGGCCAATTAAAGTGCCTAATATATTAATTCCGTCATACGATTCTTCAAATCTTTCAATTTAAGGTATTCTAATGAGTTTAATACTTAAATAAGTTGTTTTTCAATGAAATTTCATCTACAATTATCCAGAGAAAGGAGAATATGAAAAAAGAACGAAATATTCAATATGTGGACTTTACATAATAAGTTAATTATTTTGTATTTCAATTTATTTTTTATAATACAAGTGATCGTTGAAGTCAATTTGTAGAAAGATATTACACAAGGCGTTTCTGCCTAAAGTGTTGTTATAAACATGATGAACATTATTAACTAGCATGACATAAGTTTATATCGATAACTAAAAAGTAATCAGTTAAAGTCCATATCAAGTATTTTAAAAAATACCTAGATATTTACCTTTTCACTTATCACTAAGGTGAATATGAAAGTTGGAGGAGTTCTACAGATGCAAATTTATTATCCATTATTCCATGGACAAGAAAACCATAACCGTCTACAAGAACATTAGCAAGACTAAGTTGATTGTAAGTAATATTTTGATCTTCATTGGGAATACGTATATTGGAATTTGATAGGCTGACATCTATATTTGAAAAAATATTCGTATAGTTGGCTATAGATTTGCTGTTAGTAGACGAAAGCTTAGGTAATGTGGTAAACAGATCTTCAATGCTATGATTTATACTTTCTGGATTATGCCTCACAAACTTAGATCGCCATAGCGAGAGAATATGTTTTCGATAAGAATAATTTATAGTAAAAACAGGAACATGGGATTGAGGTAAAACTTCTTGTTCGATGTACTCTGTATACAAATATCCGATAAGGTAGCCCATAAAACCCGCACGTACCAATGAGGTTGAAGACAATTTAGAAGACACATACACTAAAGCAAATTGACTGCTAGTCAATTTTTGAGATGAGCGAATATCATGAACCAAGCGTTGAGTGACAGATTTGAACTACATGGTACAAAATGTGAAAATAATAATTCTGATACAACGGGAAATTCATTAAAAATATGAAATTTTTTGAACTGTATTCATTTTACTAAGAGACGCTTTATTCACTAAAAATCTCGAACTGTTGTTAGTTGCTTAGAAAAATTAATTTTTAACCACTGAGGTCTTTGCTGCATTTAACAGTCATCCAACTAATTGGTAAATGGTTTCAGCCATTTGGTTATTATTTTTCACTTTACTTGCTAAAAATCAATGGTCAAAATCAGGTAGGAGTATAACCAAATAATGTTAGTAAAACGATTCCGTCTAAATAATCATCCACTTAGATGTTGAACGTAAAACATATATGAATGTATACAAAGCCGTGATCAATGGTCAAAGTACTTAATATTTGAGTCATAATTTTAAATTTCGGTCCACATGAGCCAATGCCGGCAGACATGTAGTGCAATTTAGCTTTCAAACAATAAGTGTGAGTCACAGGTTAATACACGAGCTTGTACTTAAATCATCGAATTACATTGCTATTTATAACCAACAGATGACTGTTCTGATAACCTGAGTGGTTTGCGTTTAGTCAACGAGCGCATTAATCTCCCCCCTACACACAATTTCTGTTATATAACAAATAATCACCAAATTATTATAATTTATTTGATGATTATTTAAAAAATTTTCAGCGTTGGCTTGTACTAGTTCCATGATAAATTATTTGTTAGCGAGTTGAAGTGAATACATCACCAATGGTTTTCTATCTGAGAATAGTTAAAATGACACTTCATATCCTAATAAGCATTGTACATTTCTACGAGGAATTCACACACAAAAAGTGGGGATCGCTTCACAGGTGAAGTTACCATAGTAATGAGATGTCAGTTTAAAATAAAATGTTAATAACAGTAATTATTATTTGAACTGCACACATCCTAGAGTTTTGATAGGAGTAGAAACTATGTTTGAATTTAGAATTTCAAACACACTTAGACGACGGATAAGGTATTTCATCTGGAATCACAAATATTAATATAATGGATTTTTAAACATAGATTTAATTTTAAGTTCCTGTTCATGTAACGAAGAAACAATGTACATACTAGACAACATACACGGTGATGTTTAAGACAAGTTTTATTAATTATTCCTTGCATTACGAAAGACATGACGTTAAGGACATTTACAGATGATATAAAGGTGTTTATCACTAGCCGGTTGTTTATACTGCCGATGGATACTTTTACTCGATGAGTGGTTTTGACGAACTCAAATGTCAAACAAAACTTGAGATAATGTAAGCTAAAACTACTCATGTGTGGTAAAATCAAAATGATGAATTGTTATGAGTAAAATGATCAGATATTGTTAATATTTTGTCAGTTCATTAGTTGTACGACTTTACTGTAAGCAATTAATTTTTTTAAAGCTGTACTAGCATTTACACATCTACTTACAAAGAGAGACTGATATACCAACACCTATAAATTTGGAACGGAGTTAATCAAGCCTAAAGACTATGATTGTTCTTAAAGATTACGTTATATTCTTATGCTCTTCTAGAATAGTTCCTATTCGGAGCCAAAACTGCCTGATCTTTTTGATCTACTCACCCTACACTTGACTTCAAAATATAATTCAGGTACAGAAGTATGAATTCGATTGGTAATCGGAAAAATTCATAAATAATTCAGAACTTCAAATGGTCAATTAATGCAAATGTAAACCACAAATAGATCGAAATGATGTAGGTTTCTTTATGAATGTAACAAAAGCTGTGGTTTTCGAAATAAACGGTACAAGTACAGTTTTGTTAGAGTAAATTTCACCCAGATAACTATGAATATAAATACACTAGATTTTACAGAGGAAAATTCTTAAAACGCATATTATTGAAAGAAAGTAACTCCAGGAATAAAGCTTTTGAAAAGTTTACATATACTATCTAAGGACTAAAAATCAGTTTACTCAAATGAGAAAAACGTTTTAACTACCACAGAGGAACACATAGACGGTCTGAATTCTTTTCCAGAAGGTAAATTGAGTGAAAGGCTGTTCCAGCTGGAAAGGATAACTGAATTTTTATTTTCAGGATCCAAGCACAAAGACGCATAGCTTAGTCGATCGGTCGTAACTTCAATGGCACAGCATGACGTGATTGTCTAAAAGACCAAAAATTAAGCATTATTCACTTACATCACGATGTTTATCTGCTAAAGGAGGTTGAATCCAAGCAGATGCTGTGTTCAATCCTCGTCGCAGGAGTAAATAGACGGGGAGACGAGAATAGAATGATATCATCACTGGTATGTTTACTGTGAGTATAATGAATCACTGGAAACACTGGCTGGATTATTTTCGTACCGTATACTACTTCCTAAAAAGTTGTCTTGAAAAATATACTGGTTTGTTGAGTATATACATTCATAAATAGTAAGACTTACTAGCGGATCTTCCTAAATTAGATGATTATTGATCAAAACGCTGATAAAGTATATCAGTCATTGTAACAGATTAAGTAATTACATCAGGGGAAACCTTTAAGAATGTCTGAAAAGATACGAAAGTTTTTTTAACATTTTGTAGTTAATGACGAGCGTGATATCTTTATAGGGTGAAGCGGTATTAAAGGTTTATACAAAAGAACTCGGGAGAGTGAATGATACAGTAATAAAACATACTAAGTCATTCACAATGAAGCAAATCTACTAACTCCTCCTCATCTACCTCGTGATTATGAGTTCCAATATTCCTTCACATATCTTCCCACCATATAACAGAACCATATCTTTCTAATTTTTATTCCTGATACATCTCGTCTGTTTTTAGTACATGGTAGAGGAACAAGCGCCAAAGTAGGCCTTCCAAGCTGTACGCTGATAATAACTAATTAAATGCTGAGCTAATGGTCCTAGCAGTAAAATAAAATACGCTGAAGTCAGGCGAAAGTAATGGCAAGGACACTTATCAAAAGAGTAAGCAATGCTGTTATTAGGAAACGGGTGCTAGTTAAAGATGATAGGCCAATAGATGGAGCATTTCAGTCAGTCAGTCAGATGCAACGTAGAACTTCGTACGTAAGTACATCAGTTCATGTCGCCATACCACATCAGCACAGAGATGTAATTGTCAATTCAAATCCAATAGTAGAAGAGGTAGTAAAGGTATTAGGAGTAATCGGAGAGGTTAGGATGAGAAGATATTATTCAAGAAGTATGATTCAGTGAGAAAAGTTTAGAAAGTCAAAAGTAGAGGGGTTGAAGAATTCAGAAGTTTAGGATTTGAGAGAACACAGAGAATAAATGCACCGGCGCCATTGCAAATGATTTTGAGCCATGTCATTCAAGGTCTCTAACCATCGATTATTATCATCTCGCGGACCCCAACCAGGTAGTCTACATCTACCAACATGACTCAGTCCACTTGTCAGTGACTTCATGGATTTCTGCCATGTTTTGGTTTGGCCGCCCCTAACTTTCTTCCAACCTACTCCTACACTACAAAACAAAGCTCATCGAGGCAGTCGGTGGTTAGCCATACGCAGCACATGTCCCAACCACCTCAACTGATGAAGTTTCATTACTAGATGAAGTATTTAAACTTCATCAGGCTTTTTATCAGCCTGCGCCTAAGCTGACTTCGTTCTTCATCATGTTCAGAGCCAGGTGGGATGAGTTTTCGAGCATCCATCAGTTCGGTGGATGCTACTGAGATCCATGGCTTCATTCTAGCCTTATGGTTAGCCTTACTAGCAGATATCACTGCTGTTTCCACAGCCTTCTTGATATCATTCCAACCTGCCTCCGGATGGGAATCGCTTATATGATTGCTTAACTCTCTTTCTAGTTGCTCCTGAAATATATTCTTAGCTTTATTATCATTAAGTAAAACCCTAAGAGGCTTCCTTACGGTGTCTTTCCTACGTCCAGTAAGCCTCAAACAAATACGCTCTCGCACTAGGGCATGATCTGAATCTAAACGAAATGAGCGGCAGTCTTCTATCGAACCCCTCCATCGGTGGCTGATGGCGACGTGATTTAGTTGGGTCCAACGCTGAGACGACTTTGGAGGTCACCAGGTCAAGAGATGCTTTTCTTTATGCCTAAAGTTAGTGTTTTCTAGAAATAAGCGGTTATCTGAGCACAGTTGCAACAGACGGTCGCCATTGTCCGTTCTCTGAGCAGCGACACCATAACATCCACCAAGGTGTCTCTCCTGCTCACTTGGTCTACCTACTTGAGCCATTATTACTACATCAAAACGTCTAGTTTTTGGAGGAGGTCCGAAAGCTTTCTGTAAAACTCATCTTTCATCTCGTCTGAACTGCAGTCAGTGGGGACATAGGCAGGTACGACGAAGAGGCAACGGCGAGTGTCCCTATCTTTACGAGTCTTTAATGTCCCGTTCAGTCGGACAGCGCACAAGCGATTATCTACAGGGATGCAGTCTAGGAGAGATAGTTCTGCCCTAGAACTCAATACTATACCTACACCAGCAAGAGCGCGGAAAGCAGCAGCAAGGCTTCCAGGTACACGAACAGTAAATCAAGCTGCTTCTTTATTTTGACAAGGTGAAATCAAATTCATGATTTTACTAGGATCCTGTATGTGCGTTTCCGAGACGCAGTATACATCGATTGAGCGAGATTCTAATGTCCTAGCTAAGGAAGCCTGTTGCCCTATTTGACACAATGTCCGTACATTAAATGCTCTAACATGTAGTCTAGAACGGGATTTCAAGAGACCAGGAATAACTTTGGTGAACTCGCATCGTTTGCATTAGCGGTGCAGGGTGATAAAGAAATATGAGTAGAGTTAGTCGTGGAGATAAGAGAGATGTTAGGGGGTGTAGGAAGAATTTGTTTGTGACCAATTTGGTCTCGTGTGCTGTTACAGGTATGAGGGCGGTTGTCACTTCCCGGATGCCCACACCGTGGAAGGCTGTTTCTTGAGGAACCTGAAAAGGATTAGTGTTGTTCTTAGAAACCTGGGTGCGTGACCGCAGTGCCCAAGGGACAACTGCTGGAGGCCGGTCACGCACGGCTTTTTTATGAAAGGTTTTTGAGTATTAACACCGCTCTTAAAGGCCCTTAGTGGGCACCCTTACCCAAGGAGACGGAAATCCGTGAGGTAAGGTGAGGTGTGACATTTTCAGGGTCGACCTTTTCTAACACTTCCTTCCTTGTGAGAAAGCAGCATCGCTGCAGATGCTAGTTGTCCGAGGGAAACACCCCTCTGCAGTCAGCAGTACGACTTCGCCCTCAGACCTTGAGTAGCTGCTTTTAGTCTGATCGTTCTCCAATCGACCTGCCTGGCATGGTAGAACCTTCAGGAACATATTTTCCAGCCAGTATGGCTCAGCTGGGTCACCACGATAGTCAGGACCGACGACCACTTCAAGGTGGCAGCTACGGTCGGGAAACAAACAGTATGTTGCTGCCAGGATCGATGGGCAGAACACTTTAGGGATCAGTTCAATTCGCCTTCAGCCACATTTCGGTTACCCACGATCTCCAGTCATCCTGAATGGCAAGTCGACGTAGGCCCTCCGAACCTTTATGAAGTTGAAAAGGCTATGGGAAATCTGAAGCGAGAGAGAGCAGCAGGACACGATAGATTGACTCCTGAGATATTTAAGGATGGTGGCCCAGTTTTAGCAGCTAGATTGACTGAGATCTTAGGTAGAATCTGGTAAATTGACACAATCCCATCCGACTGGTCTCAATCCCTGATTGTCCCAATCTATAAGAAAGGACAAAAGTCTTCTTGTGACAATCACAGGGGACTGAATCCAACTAATATGGTTTTTAAATTGTTAGCCTGGATAATCCTTAGAGGCCTAACTAGTGCTCGTGAAGAGCAGACTCGAGAAAACCAGGCTGGTTTCAGACCTGGACGTGGATGTATAGACCACATCTTCACACTACGACAGGTCCTGGAACACAAAAAAGAATGGAGAGAGTGGACAACCCTGACAGACGCCACTTGAAGTAGAGAATTCCGATGACAATTCGGCATAGGCTCTCACCCGACCAGTAGTTTTAGAGTAGAAAGCTTGTATAAGGTTAATGTACTTCTTTGGTACACCTTTCAATGACAGACACTGCCACAGAACCTCACGATCAACAGAGCCAAATGTCGCCTTAAGGTCCAAGAAGACAACTATTGTAGGACGCCTAAATGTATGTTTAAGTTTGTCGTAGACGTTCTTTTAGAGTTAACAATATCATCGTCAGATTTTTCAGTAGTAGACCTACCAGGAGAATCGCTTACTGACCTAGAATATGCCGATGACATAGTTCTATTCGGTGAAGACGCTGACAAAATTCATAGTCTTCTGACAACCATAAGCAACAATGCAAGCATGTTCAGGATGCGGTTTCCCCCCTCGAAATGCAAAATATTGCCTCAGGATTGGCTTGCGACTTCGCCAGAACTAGTGATAGGGAGTGAAGCAGTTGAGCGTGCAGACCGCTTCACTTATCTGGGGAGTCTCATCAGTGCCGACGGCCTGGTGACTGACGAAATCTCAGCTCGGATACAGAAGGCTCGATTGGCTTTTGCCAACTTGCGTCACTTATGGCGTAGACGAGATATCCGTTTGCTAACCAAAGGACGAGTGTACTGTGCAGCAGTTCGCTCCGTCCTACTGTATGGATGCGAGACTTGGCCGTTAAGAGTAGAGGACTTTCATAAGTTAATAGTCTTCGATCATCGGTGTCTCCGAAGCATTGCTCGCGTATCCTGGGACAACCGTATGAGCAATGCTGTCGTTAGGAAAAGAGTACTATGGAGGGATAGAAAATCAATCGATGAAGTAATGAAACTTCATCCGTTGAGGTGGTTGGGACATGTGTTACTTATGCCTAACCACCGACTGTTGTGACGAACTATGTTTTGTGGTGTAGGAGTAGGTTAGAAGAAAGCTAGGAGTGACCAAACCAAAACATGGCACAAATCCATGAATTCACTAACAAGTGGACTGAGTCGTGTTGGTAGATGTAGGCTACCTGGTTGGGGTCCACGAGACGACAGTCACCAATGGTTAGAGACCTTGAACACCTTCCACGGTGTGGGCAGCCGGGAAGTGATAATCGCCCTCATACCCGCAACAGCACACGAGACCAAATTGTTACGAGCTATGTTTTGTGGTGTAGGAATAGGTTGGAAGAAAGTTAGGGGCGGCCAGACCAAAACATGGAACAAATCCATGAAGTCACTGACAAGTGGACTGAGTCATGTTGGTAGATGTAGACTACCTGGTTGGGGTCCGCGAGACGAAAGTCATCAATCGTTAGAGAC